AAAATCTCACTGCTAAATGATGCCAATTAGCCGATTATTGTTAATAATATTCTACACAATATTTCACCTTTCGTTTCACAACTACCACTCAACACTCAACAACTGCCAAAGGGAATTGAAATTTCTGGGAAAATTTCTGTCAATGCCGACAATGCCGTCGAAAATGCAGTCATCAATGCCTTCAATGCCGTCATCAATGCCGTCAATGCCGTCATCAATGCCATCAATGCCGTCAATGCCGTCATCAATGCCGTCAATGCCGACATCAATGCCGTCAATGCCTCGTCAATGCCGACATCAATGCCGTCAATGTCGACATCAATGCCGTCACTGCTGCAAATTTTCCTTATTTTTCCATTCAATGCCCGACAATACCTAAATCACTGCCTTCATTGCCGCCATCATTGCCGAACATTTGTACACCAATGCCGATCGTGAAACACCCCTCGAAATGTTTAGAAGGTGTTCGTAACTCTTCCATTATATACCAGGGGCGCTCAAAAACTATGGCTATCACTAAGCTAAATGAGTTATTAACCAAAAATGTTCAAAAGTGTGAAAAATTGTGTACTTGTAGGTACTCAGGTACCTATGTTTTGTGATAAAAGTGACTTTCTATCTCAATGAATTCCAGTTCTCACTACGCTTGTGCTAAAAACTTTTTGCCTCATGATCCCTTGGCCTAGGGTTTAAGTGTTTAGTTATTAGGTATACATACACTTGGTGATTTGTTTGAAAAATCTAAACAGCCATGGAAAGAAAAAGCAATGAAAATTGTTTTCTAATATGTCATATTTCACTTGGTAACCATGGAAACCAAAACAGTGACCCTGTCAATAAAGCGAATTGTCTTTTTTGTCACCTTTCTTGTGAAAATGGCAATTCGGGAAAGGTAATGTGCTACGTGTGCAATGAAGGACTAGAGTAAGAGTAAATCGCCTTGTTTTATTACTGAACTAGCATTACCCGTCACGGCTTCGCCCGCGATTTTTGAACTTATTAGGCTGTGTAGGTATTATCTATGGTATGTGTCTATGAAAAATGTTATGTTTGACATTGCTTTTGCAGTATGCTCTGTTTTCGATGACGACAAACCATCGATTACTTCTTGGGATGCCTCTTGATATTATCCTACTCAGTTCAGATAATGACACCCTCAAGTCATAATCTGCGTGTTCGTATAATCGTCTTCAATGGCCTGGTTGATTATATTATTATTATTTACAATTTATATTAAATGCTGATGCCGTGCAGTTGGTGAGGTGACTGATTGACATGGTTTCGGACACTCTGCTGACGCTGAGCTACTTACTGAACGGATTCCCAGGAAACCCTATTACACTTTTTCTTATGTCTAATAATTATTGATGATTAGACAGCTAAGTATATGTATAAAAAAGAAATCGGGAAAAATCGATTTTTCCAAAATATCTTCGGAAATAGTCGGATTTTTTTAGATTTCAAAACAAGGGACAGAAGGGCCCAACTTTTTTCTAATTTAATCATCTTTGTATCTCTTCCGGTTTACGAGATCGCTGTAGAGTGCATTCTTATATGGGACACCCTGTATATAATAGAATCATGAAGTTTTTCTATAAATTTAATGGAATTATATTGTTTAAATATTGCACGAAATGGATGCACATTGCACAACTGAAATGAAAAATTTAATTTGCTTAATTCATGTTAAGACTTCTTTGTATACCACATTAGTAGTCCTTCGACCTGTTGCTAAAATAACCAAGCTTGATGGAGTACTCACTCGCGAGCAAGCAACGTAAAATTGGCCATGGGAAAAAGAATTTTCCCGTAGATCAATTTCGGCTACTTTCAATGACCCCCGACAAACTTTTATTGGAAATTGTCTTCTTTTAAACTCAAAAGGATAGTCTGACGGTATTAGTGGTATGCGGGGTATAAAAACTGATTCTCCTCTGGCACATCCGGTTATTACTGTAGCCTCAATTATGTTTTTCTGAAGAGCAGTGACTCGTAGCCTCGTACCATTACGCAACTTAGGAGGATTTAGATTCCGTAATAACATTATCGGTGTTCCAATTTTCAAAATAAGTTGATGTGCTGGAAAACCTGGAGGATTGAGGGTGTTGAGAAACTCTGATGGATAGTGAACAGCATTATCATTTTGTAGCACTGAATCAACAGATTTGAACTCTATAGATTCACCATTGAAAGAATTTAACAATGTATGATTGATTTCAGCTGCGGCGTCATTTTTAGGGGTTAATATGGCTCTTTCACACAGCCAGTCCATAGATTTTTTGGTAATATTGTGAATGTCAGGGTAGATATCGGCTATAAGGTCTTTTAATGAAGTGACTACCTTACCTAAACCTGTAGGTATAGTAATCTTGCCTTCTGATTCAATGCAATTTCCATCTCCAATTTTCAACAGTAATTAGGAAAATTTTTCTGCGGAAATATCGCCTTTTAGGTGTACTCGCATGTTTTTAGTAAGGGAGAGTTTAGTTGTTTTAGGACAAAGATAAGATGCTTTGATACATGCTTTGACCTCCTTTGCTTGCGTTCCTCTGGGTACAACAGGCAAAGTTTGACGAAAATCACCAGCCAAAAGCGCCGTTACTCCTCCCATCAAATCGCTTGAATTTCGAAGGTCCTTAAGTGAGTTATTGAGTGCTTCAAAACCACTTTTATGCGACATTGGACTCTCATCCCAAACAATTAGCTTGCATTCTTGTAGAACTTTAGCCATATTACTTTGTTTCGAGATCTAACACATAGGGGTCTCTACATGATTGAGATTGAGAGGTAATTTAAAGGCTGCATGCGCCGTCTTCCCTCCTTCTAACAGTGTTGCCGCAATGCCTGAAGATGCAGCTGCCACAGCGATTCCTTCCAATCTTACTTTTGCCAAAAGACAGTTGATGAGAAAAGTTTTGCCGGTTCCACCTGGAGCATCTAAAAAAAACATTTTTCCAGAACTCGATCGTACGCTATTAATGACCTCTTGGTAGACCATACGTTGCTCGTCCGTTAATGAAGCTTCGCCGACAGAAACAGTTTCTCGCAGCTTATCTAGGTTGTAATTAGTCTCTGCCATGTAGTCACGATTTTGTACAACGTCTTCAGATCTATTCGGCTGTGGCAAACCATATTCTTGTAAGTTTTTACCACCAAGGGATAGCACAGTATTTTCTATCATGACCCAGCATCTATTATAGATCTCGTTCATTGCTGGTTGCACACCAAAATCCAAATGTCTACTCATCTGATATTTGACATCTTCAGCCAAACTATCTTTATATTTTTCCCAGAGGCCGATTGCATCAGCTAGATGACAAAAGATTAACATAATTGAAAAAAGCTCCCGTAATTTGAAAGGAGACCGACTCATAGCCGCCTCGCCTAGAGTTGAATCCCATTGCTTATCATCTTCAAGCAGTCCAAGAGCTTTGCATGCACTTTGAAAAGTAGGGTGCAATATATTATCCTGTTTTCAGATATGAATAAGATGTTGGTCCTCGCATATGATGTAGTAGAAGCCGAAGATAGAAACATGTTATTTGGATGGATAGTATATACTCTTCCTAATGCTGAATCTTTCTTCACTCCAGGCCAACCTTCTACATCCTCTCCACGCTTCCGCCAAATAAATCTTTTATTCTGCCATACGTAGTATGAAGCGTATTAGAGCGTTTTTGCAAAGTTATCCACTTGGTATAATTCGAAAAATGCCAAAAGTGTTGTAGTAGGTGGTATAGTCAGTTTATCTGCAAGATTATTTTCAGTAAAATATACTCGTTGTCCATTCTCAAGATGAACGTCAAGATGTGTGACAGTTGGATATCGTTCGTGAACTGAAAAACAGAGAATTCTCCATACAGCTTCAGAACTGCTAAGGTATCGACCGTTTTCATACATCTTTATTTCATCTATCTGTTCTTTGTTTTCCAACGCGAAGGCCGCCTGATCGTCGCCCTTGGTGATATACTTACAAATATATTTAATAGACTTTACAGAACTGGTTATTTCAACGTTGATATGTGCATTGAAAGTGCGTAATAATACAGGATTATAAGGAACCACCCATCTATTGTCCAAGTTCATGCTTTTTATATCAACAGTGAAACCTCCGTCATCGGAAGATCGTCGTCGATACTTGGGATATCCGTCTTCGCCTCTTTCAGTTTCTTGTAGCAGCCTAGCAGGATAATTTTTTGTGCATTTTCCATCTTTCATGCACGGATAATTATTTTTGTTTAAGCTACCGCATGGCCCGTGTATCATATTGGCTTTAACAATCTCGTATAGTAGTGGATCAGAAGATGCATCTGGAATTTCCGCGCAGACAAATTTATCAATCATATTGGGAGATATGCGATTTTCTAACTACAGCAGAATGTGAACATGTGGCAATCGTCTTTTTTGCCATTCTACTGACAGCATGTAACATTTCACTTTGCCGAATAATTGGGCTTTGATCAAAAGATTCATCAACTCCTTGACTTTACGTTCGGGCGATGATAATGCTTCTGTCCGGGTAAAAGTGTTTCTTGGATTTCTTTCCATTTAGGATTACATGTGAAGGTGACGAATAAATCTGAGCTTCCGTAGTGACGAACATACGTCATTCCATCTTGAGCTCGTTCGTGCATATATCGAGGACCTCCAGTAAATGATGACGGCAGTACTACCATTCTACCAAGTTAATCAGCTTGAACATCTTGCCGTCCGATGGCATCTTTAAGATGAATGTAGTTGTCGACTCTGAGCTGCTTTTAATTGAACCTCAAGAAATTTAACTTTTCAGTCTCGATTTTTGCGTACATGTCAACCAAATATTGGTTGAATAATGAACCATATCGGAGTAAATAGTTTTCTTCTCCTTCGCGTATCATAATTCGATAGGCATAAAAGCTTGCTGCGGAGACGGTTTTGTTCAATAGACATTTCGTTAATGGATCGCATTGCTTTATGTCTATCGAGTAGCCATCATCGCCGTGACAGAAGATTAAAGGATATTACAGAGCGTCATATGATCGATGAAGTTCACTGATGCGTTGTAATCGATTGCCATGACTGTGAATAATAATATCACGTTTTTCAAATTGCTGTCCCACTATCACCAGACCAACTTCGCTTGCTGTCGGAGCGTTATAGCGACCACGGTGACCGTCAGCTGGCATTCTATCGGCATGGATTACAACTTGAAAGCTTTTGACATTTGGACGAATTTTGTCTATGGTTGTCTTGAAGTCCTTGATGTACCTGTTATTATTATGAAGCATTTTCTGAAGCAGATGCACCAGCTCAAGTTTAACACCGGGGTAGTTGGAACACCTAATACTCGCTTCTTTCTCGTCTTCCCCGACAAAATAAATTTGCAAAAATTGAGCATTACGCTCTGACTCGGGCAGGAGGCTTCCGTGCAGGTGATAAACTTGTCCTTGCACTTTTAAAGTCGGCATGAACCCGTCTTCAACAATTTGTTTAGCTCCGAAGGATCTCCCATGAGTAGACTATGTAACGGCTCGGGTGGGCGTTGGATCGCAGTAAGCTGTATTTTGCCGGAACTGCAGCACATACCAGGCGTTTCACCTTTCCATTTTAGTGCATTGCAGCGCTGACATTTCAGGTTCATAGCACCAATATAATGTTCATAAGCAATGCCAGGATCATATTCTAATCCAGAGAGCACTTTTTTCGTACATGGGCGCAAGCGACGTTCTGACCGTATCCCTGGATGGTTAGTTTCGTATTGCTCATGAGTTGCTCTGTGCACTTCTGGGTGATCTTTTTGATATCTAGCAGCTGCTGCTCTGTGACTTTCAGGATTTTGGTTTCTAAGCTTGGTGGCAGCTTTTTTGATTTCTTTGTCTCGCGTGTAACTCGTATATCTTGCTCGAGGTTTTTTAGTTTTTGAGTTTTGGGATATTGATGTTGGCTCCGACGAACTTATACAGGGTGTCCCACTAAGGTCGACGAGGTACGTTATTATGGAAACCATAGACCTTACGGCATCGGGATTTTTTTCTTCATCACTAAATCGGCCAAGAGAAATTGATGGAAAATATTTTCAAGTTTCTAAGATGGCCGCTAGGGGGCGCAATCACGATGATATAACTAAAAATTCAAATTTTCTCGAAAAATCGCTATATTAAGAGGCCTGGGTACCTCTGTGCGACGGGTTAAACTATTTTCTGATTTACGTCTAAAGTATTGGATCAAAATCAATGAAATTTGGTAGGATGATAGATGATGAATCACAGAAGAATGAAAAGTAATTTTTTATAGAAAAAAGTAATTCTAAAAATTATCTCGCCTCTCAAAAAAAAAAAGATTGGAATATAAAATACTTCTCACATTTCTATGTTAAAATACTAAAATTTTTTACCAATATAATTTTTTTGTTAAACACGTACATTCTTGTTAAACATAAAAAAAACAGAAAATGTATTATTTCGGATCAATTCATGCAATCGCAATTACATATTCTATGTCATGGCAACACTGAGAACTGCCCCGCCAACCCCCGGCCGGCGCTTCGACAACATCCCGGGAATAAAATAATATTTATTCTTATCTCAATAATTGTTTTGACCATTCCGTGCCGTCGAAGAGTTTTTGCATTGCCTTTTGTGTTTTGAAAATAAACTGGGTAAAACCTTTGGTACAACTTCAGAAATTTTTGATAGGAAAAGATTACGTTTATCTACTGAACGTAAAAATTGACGACTTCCTATGAAAAAAATCTGGCTCTGTGTCATTTGCGCGACAACCGTTTGCGCGAGGGAGAAAAGCGCGATATGAAAAGAGCGAGGGACAAAAGTGCGACGGAACAAAAACGCGACAGGACAAAAGCGCGATGGACACAAACGCGACTGGATAAAAACGCGATGAACAAAAGCGCGAGGGACAAAAGCGCGACGAAAGAAAAACGCGAGGGACAAAACCGCGACGGAACAAAAACTCGATTGGAATAAAGCGCGATGGACAAAAACGCGAGTGGATAAAAACGCGAGCAACAAAAGCGCGAGGGACAAAAGCGCGACGGAACAAAAACGCGACTGGAATAAAGCGCGATGGACAAAAACGCGACTGGATAAAAGCACGAGAAACGAACGCGCGAGGGACAAAAGCGCGACGGAACAAAAACGCGAGGGAGAAAAGCGCGACAGAAGAAAGATGCAAATGGACAAAAGCGCCACAGAATGGAAATGCAAATGGATAAAAGCAGAAGGAACAAAAACGCAACTGAAATAAGGCGCGACTGGATAACAGCGCGAGGGACAGGACAAAAATGAAAATCGATTTCAAGACATTATAAAATTTACCGATAATAACCCGGTTGGTTTGCAATTTTAATCAGACATTTCCAAATTTACCCACCCATAATAACCCGGTTAGTTTGCAATTTTAATCAAACATTACCAAACTTACCGATAATAACCCGGTTAGTTTGCAATTTTAGGGCCAAATTATGGACTGACTGGTAAACGTCTGGTTGTTACCTAGCAGGTACTTTTTATGCTCTAGATAATAGAAAGTACCTGCTAGGTAACACCCAGACACTTACCAGTTGGTCCATAATTTGGCCCTTAATCAGACATTACTAAACTTACCGATAATAATACGGCAGGATGAGGGGGTGGCCTTTCCCTATTAAAAATATCGATGGAAATTGGACAAAAACGCGAGAAAAAAAAAATACAAAAAAACCAGTTAGTATGAAACCAGTAGCTGTCACTATGAAGTGAAATAATTCGAAGTAATTTTAAAAATTATGTCAGAAGCTACCGATCAAAAATTCTTGATTCATCAAGAATACAGATACCGAATAGATAAGAAATTTACTTCTTCAATATCATGGCGTTGCTGTAAGAGGCTTTGTAAAGGAAGGCTCATAAGCCGTGGACAAGATAAAAAAATAACAAGGGATCACGACCATGCACCGGATCCTTCGGAGAATGAATTGTTTAAAATGAAAACTATTATAAAAATGAAGGCAAAAATAACAAATGATGCCCCTAGAAGGATTTATCAGGAATGTACAACTGGTTTATCTCAAGAAGCCTCCACCAATGGCCTTAGTTATGATTCTGCCAGAAAAATCATTCAAAGAGAAAGAAAAAATAATCAAGTGAAGGTGTCTGGACAATACCTTTCTGTTGAAAAAATAAATTTGGGAGACGTTATGTATTTAAATGACAATTTCCTTTTGTGGGATTCCGGAAAAGATGATGCAAATAGAGATGAATTGGCAAGTAGAATTTTCATTTTTGGAACCCGGCAAAATCTTAACTTGTTAAAAGAATTTGAACATTGGAGTATTGATGGAACATTCGATGTTGCTCCGACTATGTTTACGCAACTTCTTTCCATACACGTTTTTGTTGAAAGAAAGGCTTTGCCGGTTGTATACGTTCTACTATGCAATAAAAAAGAAAACTCTTATAAAAATGTGCTCCAAAAAATAAAGGAACTTGAGCCTACTCTATACCCAAAATCCATATTGACTGACTTTGAGATATCTTTAAAAAATGCGATAGATGAAGTCTTTCCAGAGGCCGAATCCATTGGATGTTTGTTCCATCTCTCACAAAGTATGTGGCGCAAAATTCAAAACCTGAAGCTAGTTGTACTTTACAAAAACGAGGAGAAGAATTCAATGCAAAATGCTGTTGGCCTTGGCTTTCGTACCCAAAAGAGACGTACAATTTGCGTTTGAAATAATAACAGAAAATTTTGATAAACAACTTCAGCCACTATTTGAATATTGGGAGGCGACATATGTGGGGCGACGATTATTGAAATTACCACCAAGATTTAAAATCGATTTTTGGAACATGTTTGAGAGAGTACAAAATAAATTGCCACGGACAAACAATTCGCAAGAAGCATGGCATAATTCTCTCAAAAAATCCATAGAATGTCATCACCCATCTATTAATAGATTGATTGATCAGCTCATGAAAGAACAAGCTCAAGTTGAAATGGCAGTCAACAAATACAGGACCGGAAATAGAAAACCCCCAGCGAAGAGTTCAAAATATGAGCAAGTTAATTCTCGATTGTTAAACTTAGTCCAAGAATACCGTTTTTCCAACGTACAAGATCACCTTAAAGCAGTAGCTTTAAACTTAACCATTTAAACTTAGCATTTCATAATTTGTATTTTTAACTAATTTATTTTGTTTTTTTTGTTAATAAAGTTTATCATGCTGTTCAACTTAGAGCTATAGAATAAGTGATAAACAAATTGAATCAATGATATTCCAGGAAACGCAGACTTACTCAAACTAACCCGTCCGCCTAGTGCGATCTAGTCCTCGTAAGTTAGCATTTTATTGCAGACTTACTCAAACTAACCCAAACTAACCCGTCCGCCTAGTGCGATCTAGTTCTCGTAAGTTAGCATTTAATTGCAGAATTACTGAAACTAACCCAAACTAACCCGTCCGCCTAGTGCGATCTAGTCCTCGGAAATTAGCATTTTGTTGCAGACTTACTCAAACTAACCCAAACTAACCCGTCCGCCTAGTGCGATCTAGTGCTCGGAAATTAGCATTTTGTTGCAGACTTACTCAAACTAACCCAAACTGACCCGTCCGCCTAGTGCGATCTAGTCCTCGTAAGTTAGCATTTTATTGCAGACTTACTCAAACTAACCCAAACTAACCCGTCCGCCTAGAGCGATCTAGTCCTCGTAAGTTAGCATTCAATTGAAGACTTACTCAAAATAACCCAAACTAACCCGTCCGTCTAGTTCGATCTAGTCCTCGTAAGTTAGTATTTTATTGCAGATTTACTCAATCTAACCCAAAATAATCCGTCCGCCTAGTGCGATCAAGTCCTCGTAAGTTAGCATTTAATTGCAGACTTACTCAAACTAACCCAAACTAACCCGTCCGTCTAGTTCGATCTAGTCCTCGTAAGTTAGTATTTTATTGCAGATTTACTCAATCTAACCCAAAATAATCCGTCCGCCTAGTGCGATCAAGTCCTCGTAAGTTAGCATTTAATTGCAGACTTACTCAAACTAACCCAAACTAACCCGTCCGCCTAGTGCGATCTAGTGCTCGGAAATTAGCATTTTGTTGCAGACTTACTCAAACTAACCCAAACTAACCCGTCCGTCTAGTTCGATCTAGTCCTCGTAAGTTAGTATTTTATTGCAGATTTACTCAATCTAACCCAAAATAATCCGTCCGCCTAGTGCGATCAAGTCCTCGTAAGTTAGCATTTAATTGCAGACTTACTCAAACTAACCCAAACTAACCCGTCCGCCTAGTGCGATCTAGTGCTCGGAAATTAGCATTTTGTTGCAGACTTACTCAAACTAACCCAAACTAACCCGTCCGCCTAGTGCGATCTAGTCCTCGTAAGTTAGCATTTTATTGCAGACTTACTCAAACTAACCCAAACTAACCCGTCCGCCTAGTGCGATCTAGACCTCGTAAGTTAGCAT